CTGAGACAAAGGCGGCAAAGGAAAGAAGGGAAAGAAAAACGCAGTAGAGTCCAATGCTTCCATTCCCCATTCTCTGCAGGCTTCTCCTCATCTTTGTTCCACCATCCGCTAGTTTCTCGTGCAGTTCCGAGTTTGGTGTTTCCTGTTCTCTGCGCGAGCTGTTGAAAACATACACTTCTCCCCGTCTCTGTTTGCAACTTTTACTGTCTTGTCCTCCTCGCCGCCGCCTCGCCGCCTCCGACCGCCTCCTGTTAAGATGTATCAACAGTTTGCAGTGTTTGCAGTGGAAATATCCACACTCCGCCTTTTTCTGGGTCTTTTAGAGCCCTTGGGTCTGGACCTGCGGACCAGAGAGGGCCATGGACAAATAGTGCGGTTAGAATTGTCAACACCTCACTTGCACTGTTACATGGTAGCGGAGCAGCGGTCAAGTGAAGCTCCAACAGCTTATGGAAACATCTCGAGGCAAGAGCAACAACAACACAATACACAATGAGTACGCACGGGCAAGTGGTACAACACAGTGTGGCAGCCCAAGCAATAGCAAGCTCAGCAGCACAACAGCTAGATGGAGGACTTAGGTTACCTAGGTTGCTTCATAGATACAAGATTACACCACCAACATACAACGACGACTACACAACATTCGAAGAATGGATTCAGCAACATCATCAACAGCAGTAACAAACACAGGCCTTGTGCAAGGAGCATCCACAACTCAAGAAGGACAACACTAAGCGACCGTGGACGGGGACCTGCGGTTCATGCTCACTAACTGCTGCGCCGGCTCGGCGGCAACTGTGTGCCGCCACACAAGCAACGGACTGGAAACATTGCGGCAGCCCAGAGGCAGGTTTTGAATTCCAGTTGGAACAAGGAGCATAGGATACCTCACAAAGCTACTCAAACCGCAACTGGATAAACACAACTTCGAAGAAACCTTCTCAACATGGGAGTTCAAGGTTGCACACTACGAGAGCGACAACGGAACCACACTCAGGGACAACGTCAAAACTGCGATCCTCCTCAATGAAACAAAGGGAGCCTTACAGCAACACCTTCAACTGCAAGAAGGAGAAACCACAAGATACAACGACCCAAGGCCAAGGATCTTAGAGTACCACAGAGCAGCATCTTCTCACAGCAGACTACAAGCAACACAGGCAACAAGTAGCAACAGCAACGGTCCAACACCAATGGAAATCGGCGGTGCATGGTGGAAAGGCGGAAAAGGAAAGGAAAGCACAGCAAAGGAAAAAGGAAGGGCAACAACTACAAAGGCAAGGGCTACGGCGGCCACGGCCAAAGCCACAGAAAGGCTATGGATACACCAAAGGAAAATGAAAAGGAAAGACCCAGCAGCCAATAGGACATGGCAACCCTTTCAAAGGCAGCGGCAAACCAGGCTGCGGCTTCAACAGCTGGAAGTTCTACGGCGACTACGGCAAGAGCAAAGGAAAAGGCAAAGGAAAGGCAGCCAACAATGTCTGCTACAGATGTCGACAGGCGGGCCACATAGCAAAGCGCTGCAGAGTGACAATCTAGAGAGATAGAGAGAGAAGAAGAAGCCTCTGCGCCGGAGCCCTGCCTAAGGCGCCATCCCGCCTCGCTTCGGGGGCTCCGGAACCGTCATTGCCCCCTCACTTGGAGCTCAGGCTGGCCGAGCGCCCCAGGCTCCGCAAACGTCATAGCCTGGTGTGAATGTAGCAAGCAAATCGGGCTCTCACTTTTCGCTTCGAGCGCTATGACTCAAGGGCCCTCGTACCAGAATGGCCCGGTCATGCACAACATGTTCAACACCCTGGCTTCAAACTATACAAATTACAGGGAGAATTCACACTCAACCTGCTTTCAGGTGTTGAACCGCTTCACAGCAAAAAAAGGATGTGACACTCTGTCACATTGTCCTCACGACTTCTCGTTCGGATCTGTTTCGACCACATAAACTCCAGTGTTGATCACCTTCCACATGAAGTCCGCCTTCATTGGTTTCGTGAAACAGTCCGCAACCATTGTGGCAGCTGCAATCCAGCGAATCCGATCTCCTCCTTCTGGAAATGATACCGCTGTACGTGTTCCGTCTTCATTCCACAATGATTGTCTGATGGCTGCTATCTCGATAGATAGTCTCTTGTCTGCTATCTTCGGTGGAACCTCTGTCTTCAAATGGGACACAAGTGATCTGCAATCACTCAAGTATGTGTGCGGGACATACTTCTTGATAGTCTCGTACCAACCAGTCAAATTCTGCAACCGTCCCTGTGTCTCACATATCACTGCTCGGAGCTTGTCTCCGCTCTCGATCCCATTCTGCAATGCATACGTCTCTGCCTGCATAGTTGCACGACAGACTCGCTTTATCGTGCTCGATGCAAATCCCAAAGGCACTACATCAAACGTCTCGCAATTCTGACCCCTTGCCTGTTCACTGGACACCAAGAAATGGAAACGCCCCTGTTGTGACTTATGGTTCTCCTCATTTGCAAATGACGCATCTGTGACTGTTAGAATACCGACATTTTGCCAGTCAAGTCTTCCCGCATGGAAATACAGACTCGACCCAATGCCTTCCAACGCCACTCGACGGTCTTGTTGGCCTCCTTCAAGGTAGCCACAGTGGCTGCCTTGGTCAAAGACTGCAACCTCGACGTCCTGTACAAAAGATCAGGGCGTCCCTGTCTGGCAATCCACGAAAGAGATCCAACCACTGACCTCAACTGCGACAGTTCCAATGGGTTTACTGCATCGGTCAACTTTCTGCCTACCTCGATCTTGATCATGCTCAGCTTCCTAGTGTTGTCATCGACGTCGATCTTGATCGAGCTATCCTTCTCTTGGCTAATGCGTTTTCTGCAATACCTGAAATTGCCTTCCTCGCTGCTTCCGACAACAAACTTGCTCAACAAGTTCTCGATCGTAACCTTTCCAGTTTCAGTGTGGGCATACAAGAAATCATCCACGTGAGTGGTCATCACTGCATCTACTTTGCCATCCCCAACATGGTAATAGAACGCAGGAACAATCCTACTCGATATCAACCCGCATGCCGCTGCATCCGTACTCACCTGCAACCAGAAACCTCGACCGCTGTCAGTCAAGCCATAGACCGGTTTCCTAACCAGTAGATACGCCGTTGGAGAAACGTCCGGAAGTCCTCCTCGTGGCTGTCGCATAAGCAACACGCGATCCAGCTCTCGGGCCTGAAAATACGCGCTGGTGATGTCACAGGACTTCACCGCCACCTGATGAGCTGCTGCCCAAGCACATACTATGTGGTGAGCCTCGACGTCACCAGTTGGTGCGTCACCTCGAAGTCCTTCACGATCCTCAAAATTTCCGCATATCACCAAACGGCTCTTGTACTTGGGTTTATATCTAGGCTGACCTCTCTGGAAATCGTTCTTGTCAACCTCGACCCATCTTGACGGAATGGCAACATGACCTGCATCCAACAGACCTCTCAGTTCTTCCCCGTCAATGGGAACAGCTGCTCCGAACTTCTGGAATTTCTCCCATTCGGCCGCTCTGGCCTCTGTCAATGCACGTTGCACCTCCTCACTTGCTTCGTCATATACGAGCAACCTTTCTTGCACCCCATTCTTGTTTCTCTGCGCGTTCTCTGTCTCGCTAACCCTATCTGCGATGAATGCTACGTACTTCTCTCTACTCACATGAACATGGCCAGACGCCACATTGGCAGTCACGTTTGCGTCCTCCGAGCTCGCACTTTGTTGCCCACTCATTTGCTCAAAGTGTCTCCCGATGGATTCAGGCAAATCATCCAACAACTGTGCGCTCGTGCGTCTGGACTGCGGTTCACTGCCAAGCGTCCCTCTCTCAGGATCTGGCTCCAAAACAGGAGATGTTCTTTCAACTCGCGGCCTCACGTTTCAGCCTGCGATTTCGGCATCCCGTGTCCTCGCAGCTCTCATAGGCTCATCCTCATCTTCAAGCAACCCATGTTCTGGGATTCTCGGCAATCCGGATCCCTCAGTCTCTTCCGGTTCCGGGTCACTTGGAACTTCACCTTCGGGAACTGGGACCTGACTCGCGTCTTCGAACGCCTGCTGCCCGTGTTCTTTGATGATCTCCTCTGGCACAATGTCATGTCCATGAAGAATCAACCTCCCTAGGGCCTCAGCATCATTTGCCGGTCTCAGATTTCTCCCATCAACAAGTACTGGAATGTTTTCACACAACACCCAAACCTTCTTGTCACCTTCTTTCCCGATCACTCTGCTTGCCGGACTCCATTGGGTCTTCCCCATGAAATCTCTGCGAAAACACACGATGTCCCCCGACCTCGTAGTTCTCATAAATCGGCTGCGCGTTCCTGAGCAACGCCCTTTGCACGCGCTTGCTGCAATCGAGTTCTACGAATGCCTTCTTTGCTTCCATTCTCGCTTTGTGCTGAAGTGCAAAGATGGAATCGGGATCAATCCTGTCCCCAATCGCTCCAAGGTCGGTCCAACCTTCTTCATCCATGAAGCTAGGTGCTCCTCTCGGGCATGTACCTAGAACCCATTGCGATGGGCTGTAGCCGCCCACTCTGTGCATGGAGTTCTTGATCCGGCAACATTGCGTCAGCACTTGGTTCACCTGATCAATGCCGACTGGTGGTGTCTCACTACACACTCTCCTATACATTGCCTTGATGATTCCCCCATGGCGTTCCACACGTCCAATGGCTTCAGGCGTTTGCAACGGAGCGTGAAACACTTGGATTCCATTTGCCGACATGTACTTCGCCAGAACTCCTCGGTTGTGCAGTCCTCGGTCCGACACCAGCTCTGACGGATGTCATGCCCAGGCGAACCAACGTTCATCCAATGCTCTCAAACATTCTGCACTTGAAGCTTGCCCCTTCCCTTTTCTTAGGGCCTTCACCTGCTGAAAAGTTGTGCCACAACACAACATGTTCTGCACCAGATACTTGTCACCCTTGGCATCCGACACGTCAAACAAGTCTATCCCCAAGGTGTGATTGAATTTGTACCTGT